CTCAATTATATGAATAAAGTTTAGTGTGAGGCGTTGATCAATCCAATTGCATACGTGGGTCAAGTCAGTTCCTTAAATTTTAATAACCAAGAGCCACAAGAAAACGAGGCAGCGTAGTGAAGTTGGTGGAAGAAGATCGCAGCCATCAGTTTTCAAACACAAAATAAATTTGCTCTTTGTTTCAACTTTTTCTTTTGACAATCCAATCTTTACGGCACTACATGTTTGGATTTATAATTCATCTTGTTCTTGGTTGTAGTTGCTTGGAGGTTCAAAGTCTTTTATCTATTGAGCTGCTCAGAACCAGAAACGGTGATGTCCTAACTCCTAATAAAGCACTACATTCTTTGTTGTTTCTTTTGTTGTACTACTGATTTTGCTTGTTCTGAGGCAGTACTTTTCATTGAAGATAATGTATTGAACAACCTTCCTTCATCACAATATGGGAGGGGACTTCAATTCAATCTTGTTTCCCTGAGATCAAATCTGTTGCAAATTCCTCTTGCAAATCTCTGGGAAGATGATGCAAGCTTAGGCATATTGTCTGACGATGACTTGAGCCTGAAGATGCTTTTGGGCCAGCAACTTTGATCATGGCCATCATGAATCTTCCTTCAATTTTGCCTCTGATATTCACACATCTCATCTTCAACCACATCATCAAGCTGTTAAAAAGCCCAGTAGACTTTCTGGAACCTAAAGGATTTGATGACCATGTCGTTTTAGACCATCAATTTGGCCCTTTCAAGATTCAAGCAATCAAATGCCCTCTTATTCTGCGGAACCAAAACACACGAGCAGCAGAACAGGTATGCTGTTGCAAATTTCATTCAATTTCCTCCAATTAATACTTATGTAAATTATATGATGGAGAATAAAAATACTCCAGCATGGCTCTCATAGTCTTGCTGTTTTTTTTTTTTTTTTTTTCTTTTTTGCAGGTGATGTACAAAGGAATTACTTTACTATGCTTTTGTTCCTCTGCATAATGCGCGCTTAAAGGCGATTGGGAGTTTGCAAGGGATTTTTTGATTTTGAATCCCAAGCATATGTGCTAGCATCACAAGAAACCAGGAAACAGCTCTTCACATTGCTGCTGCTAGACATACAATATTTGTCCAAGCTTGTGAACATTATGAAAGCTGAGACCTGGGACTGCCGAACAAGGTTGGGAACACAGCCCTCTGTTTTGCTGCCATATCCGAATCAAAAAGATTGCAGAAGTGATGGTTAATAAGAACAGAAGGTTGCCATCATCGAGGCAGTAAGGGAGCAACACCGTTGTGTATGGCTGCTTTGTTGGGCCACAGAGAAAGGGTCTGGTATCTTTATTCTGTGACCGAGGAAGAGTATCTAAAAGAAGAAGATCGTGTTGAGCTTCTTGTGGCTGTCATCAATGCAGACCTCTAAGGTACCCACCTCCTACCTTCGCTATTTTCATGTTGCAAATTAATTTATAATTTCTAGAGAAGCAAATTGATGATTGTGTTTTGTTAATTTGACAGATGTGGCATTGGACTTAATAAGCATCATCCTGAGTTAGCTGTTGCTCGGATGGAAGAAGAGAGCGGCTCTTCATGTATTGGCACGGAAACCTTCAGCATTTGTAAGTGGAAGTTGGCTTGGAATTTGGCAGAGGTGCATTTACTCTTGTTAGTAACTCTCCATTACAGGCCATTTCTCACTGCCATTACTCTTGCACATTACTCGTTATCTGCTTATTTATTCCTTCTAAAAATAAAAGATTTTGGACAAAGGGGACTGTGTCCTCACATTCAGTTCCACGTTTCAGCAATCCTTGACAAAAAGTTGATGCATCTTCAAGCTCTGAATTGGTGAAGCAACTGTGAGCAAGTGTTGTTGCTAGATGACTACAAATTGGAGAACTACTTCGGAAACCTTCAAGATTGTTGTTTACTGCTGCAGTTGGGGAATGTTGAATTCATAAAGTGCTGATTCAGAAGTATCCTGACCTTATTTGAAAGTGATGATCACAGTCGAAGCATATTTCACATTGCAGTGTTGCATCGTCAGGAAAACATTTTTAATCTGATTCATGAGATTGCGCTCATAAAGATTTGATGCGGCTTATGAAGATGAAAATAACAATAACATGTTGCATTTGCTGGAAAGCTTGCCCACCCAGATGACCAAAATTGATTCTGGTGCAGCTCGCAACTAGACGAGAGTTGCATTGGTTCAAGGTTAATAATTACTTTTCAACATAAAACTGCACTTCACTGTAATAGCTTTGTTTGGAAATAACATGTAATGAAGCAAACCTGAACCCCAATTACCATTTTCTTTTGGGTCTAATCTTGATGGACTGTTCCTTTTGATCTGGCAGGAAGTCGAAAAAGTTGTTCAACCATCTTATAGAAACCAAAAATTCCGAGGGGAGGACACCTCATATTTTGTTTTCGGAGGAGCATAGAAGACTTGTTCACGAAGGGGAAAAGTGGATGAAAGACACTGCATCTTCATGTATGGTTGTTGCAACACTTATTGCAACTGTGATGTTTGCTGCAGCCTTCACTGTACCAGGTGGCAATAACAATCTTACAGGCAAGCCTGTTTTTCTACATCACAGGTCATTTTTGGTATTCGCCATATCGGATGCATTGGCACTATTTTGCTCTACCACTTCAATATTGATGTTTCTCTCCATTCTCACCTCACGCTATGCAGAAGAAGATTTCCTGCATTCATTACCAAACAGGTTGATAATAGGGCTTGCAGCTCTCTTCATCTCTATAGCAACCATGATGGTAGCATTTGGAGCCACTCTTTTCATTGTTCTAAGTGATGAATTTGCATGGATAGCTATTCCAATAGCCATTGTTGCTTGTGTTCCTGTCACCCTGTTTCCTCTGCTCCAATTTCCCCTTCTTTCTGATATGATTAGTCACTTGTAAATGTTAGTCTTTTTTCTAGTTCAAATCATCACTTGTATTAGCTCACTGCAAAACAATCTTTTCACTATGTATTGGAAATGCTGAGTAATGAACAAAGATTCATTTAATTTTTCAAATCATGATAAACAAATCCCAACTCTTTCTCTAATTGCTCAATCACTTACACGTAAAACCTCTGATCATGTAACCAACTTATAAACTTCATATTAAGTTTGCTTCATTGAAACCAATGTTTGACACCTATATATTAATGCTAAAACTAAAATATAACAACTTGAAATATTTCTCAAACAAAACTTGAAAGAATTTGATAAATAGCTTGGTAAAAAACATAGAACAACTTTAATATATCCCACATAGGAATTTAATTAGACATAATATTTCTCCTTTAGGAAGACGCAAATTGCAGAAATCCCTACATTCTTCTTAGGAAATGTTATCATCATTTGGTATCTCCTTCACTTTATGAGGCCTTGAGCCATATATTCTTCTCTTAAACTTCACTTCAGGCCATTTGAGCCATATATTCTTCTCTTACTCTTCACTTCTGGCCATTTGAGCCATATATTCTTCTCTTGCTCTTCACTTCAGGCCATTTGAGCCCTATATTCTTCTCTTGCTCTCCACTTCAGGCCATTTGAGCCCTATATTCTTCTCTTACTCTTCACTTCGGGCCTTTTTTTTTTTAAATATAAATTTAGCTAATAATAGATTGTATCCAAGGTGCCAAAAGAGGCAAGTCTTTCAACCCACTTCTTCTTCCTCTTGTTTGATTTGTAGAGTAAGTTAGACTCATTATTTTTGTTCTTTCAGTTTGCTGCATGTGCATATATATTTATTACAGTGGCTAAGATTTTTCTTATTATGGTACATATATATATAAGATCTTGGAGTACTTGAGATGAATGATTATTATTCTAATTAATATTCATTCCCAATTTGAATCCAATTGGAACACAAGGTTCATATTATGCCGCAAAATTCATTATCTAATACTTATAAAGTTCATTGTAGATTTACCACGAATAAACGAGAAAATAAATCATGAAGGATTACGCTGCTGCATTAGGAAGCACCTCAACTGCAGAAAATGTTCAGATTGTGATTGCTCCACCTTATCAAAAAATGGATGGTACGATTTGACATTGCAATTAATGCTGCATTTTTCTTTTTTAGTAAGATGCATTTTCTGAATACCCTTTAGTGTCTTAGGGCAAATGTGATATGCACTTCCTAAGTTCGTTTTAATTTTTTTCCATTAATCTCTCTTGTTTTTATGTAATTATGAAGGGCTTATGAAGTTCGAGGGTTAAAAATAGATATTAAAGTTTTATTGATGGTTAATTTCATAAATTCCTCTTATTCTTGGTTCACTTTGTATTATAAGAAAGCCTTATATACATAATGTTAAAGTACAATTAGCCAATGATTATATGTCATATCAATCCAAGTAATATATATATATATATAATCATTAGATTTTTGTATTACAATAATGTATTGAAGACTTTCTCATCTTAAGATGATCATGTGTGAAATTGAATCTCTCAATAGTAAACACTTTTTTTTTCTTCTTGTTATTATCAAAGTCATATAAATCAAAGGCAAAGAATATCCAATTTTTTTTTTTTTTTTTTTTCCAATTTTTGAGGGGAATTGATATGTCACTTTAAGACTCTTTGTTCTTTAAGGAAATAAAGATAGAAGATTCATATTAGCACACAAGATATAATTCTACAGTACAATGCAAACATTCATTAAAACTTAGATAACAAACCATGTGACTATTTTATTTATTTTATAGGACGTTCCTTATATGATATCTTCACCTACATATATTGGTGTCACTTATTGCATTTATTATTTCCTTTGTAATTCCAATATATATATATATATATATGGCTAATAATCTATCCATAAATCTTTTTTTTTTTTTTTTTTTTTTTTGTTACTTAGTTTTAGAAAAAGAATTGTTTTAATAGGTTATAATGGTCTATTCAATAAATTTATCAAGAGGAATTACAAAGTAAACATAATAAACTTTTTATATATCAAAATCTCGTAGAGTTTAATGTGAATGTATCGATGGACTCTTCCACGATAAAAGAAGAATCAGTGCAACCGCTGCAAAATTCTATCTCACTCTCAAAAAAGTCTTTTTGTTATGTTGATTATAGGCTATAGCATCCCTTTTATTATGTGTAAGAAATTTTTTTTGCATAAACTTGTTCATTTTTCAACTTGACAGAAATTGAAAAAAAAAAATAGTCACTTCAAATTGTGCTGGGCTACATTGGAAGGCGATTGGAACACTGCAGAAAGAATTTACAACGAAGATAATATTGATACACAAGTTAAGCTATCAAAGGATGGGGACACCGCTCTCCATATTGCAGTTGTAGCAAGGCGCACTGGTTTTGTGAAAAAGCTGCTTGAACAAATGAATAAAGAGGATTTAGCCGTAAAAAATAATGCTGGCAATACGACCTTTTTTCTTGCAGTTGCGTCCAAAAGGGTTGAAATTGTCAAGGCTATGATGGAGAAGAATGACGACATAGTAAAGATTAGAGGAGACAATGATACGTTACCGCTTCACAAGGCAGCTCTAGAGGGAGACAAAGAGATGGTAGAATATCTTTACGAAGCCACTGGAGATGAGTTATTAGATGATAATGATCGCTTCCACTTGCTCGTCAATCTAATAAACCACGGTTTGTATGGTAAGTTTAGTTTTAATATTTATATTCGGGCTAGCTAATCAAAACTTAAGTCATACTCTAATCCTATGAATCAAACATGGTTGGTCAGCTTAAACCACCCGGTTGAGCCCTCGGGGTAAACAACTTAATACATATTCAACTTAACAACCCCTCAATTAATCATATATTAATTATATAATTTATGATGCTGATCATTGTTTTCCTAGATGTTGCATTGGATTTGGTGAAGAGGCATCCACAGATAGCTCTTGCACGTGGTAAAAATAAGGAGTCAGCATTGCATCTCTTGGCACGAATGCCTGTGTTGACACGTATTTTAGATTTTAACTCCATTAGACTTTGCAAAGATTCAGCCATCTACATGTGTTAGTTTTCTCTAGTCATTAGCACTTTCAGATTGCTTTGATTAGTTTTTGTTTTTTAATCATTATATTAATATATAATTGTAAGAAAAAAGGGTGCTTAATTTCATTTTGTTTTAGAGCAGACAATGAAGTAAAAAGAGACGTGATAAAGAGATGTCCTCCAATGCTTGGGAGGCAGCGGGTGAAGGAGGGGAATGAGCTGAGCTTGAGGGATCGAATAAATGAGAGGGATGAACTGATGAATGAGAGAAAGCAAAGGCTCGGCTGGGGGTATCGGATTAATGAGACGAATCGTCAACTGCTTTGTGGGTATTTATGGGTGCACTACTAGAATCACCCCAATATTAAATACAAATGAAATTCTCATGTCTAACTTAAAATATAGAGTTAATTTCAGTTAACAAAAGTTAATTATTGTCTATGAGCATTTTTAGTGCGTCATTAAGAAGATAAATCAAGTTCCTATTTTATCTTATATATTAATGGGTATTTAATTACTCTCGGATAATCTTTTATTAGAAATGTGCCATAATCCTCTCTTCTTTTTTCGGTTTAGGATTAATTAATCGCTTCTTTAATATTTTCCTCATCCTCAATTTTTCTGTAAATTAATGTTGGGTAAACTAAACTTCTTGTTTCAGATACCGGTCAAGAGATTCCCGATTCAGCTTTCGAACTAGTCGAACGTCTTTGGAAACAAGTTAGGCTTTTGGATGACTCCCAGATTTTGGAAATTATTAGAAAACCTTGGTCTCTAATATTCGAGGCTGCAAAACAAGGAAACCTTCGGTTTCTAAAAATAATTTTCTCCACATATCCTGATCTAATGTTTGAAGTTGACGAAAATCATTACACCATACTTCATTTTGCTGTTATGTATCGTCGCGGTAATATTTTCAACTTCATTTATAACATCGGTCGATTTAAGGATATGGTGGTTCGTGACACAGATAAAGAAGAGAACAATATCTTGCATTTGGCTGCAAAGTTGCCACCAGTAGATAGACCTGATATTGAATCACCTGCATTACATATTCAAATGCAAATTGACAAGAGGTGGTTTGAGGTGCATATTAATTTACGCCCGTGTTTTGTTTGGAAAAAAAAATATATTTTTTGCCTTGATTGATAAATGTTTCGTAACAACTGTAGGAAGTGAAGAGAATTACGCATCCAGTGTATGCCGAAGCTAAAAATAAAGATGGGAAAACTCCTAGAGCTTTATTTAGTGAACAACATGAAGAGTTGAGGAATAAAGCTGATAAATATACCAAGAAGATAGCAACTGCATGCATCATGGGGTCAACACTTATTGCCACTGTGGTTTTCGCTGCATTTTCACGTTACCAGGTGGCACCAATGAAAATACAGGGACTCCACATTTTGTCTGAAAAGCTTCCTTCATAGTTTTTACAATATCAGATACTATAGCATTGCTATTGTCCTCTTTCTCCATAATAGTGTTCTTAGCTGTTATCTCTTCCCGATGTGAAGAAGCAGATTTCCTTAGCCGAGTGCCTTGTAATTTGGCTTTGGGATTACACTTACTTCTACTTTCCGTAAAAGCAGTAATGGTAGCGTTTAGTGCAACTGTGTTCATTGTCTTCAAAGATGGGTTGCTATGGACGCCTGTTCTTCTTACTGTAATGGTTATTTTTGCAATCGCCACGTACGAGGGTAGAGCTTGGACTATCTATGGAGAAGTGATGCATTATACCTATAGAAGCTGGTGACATTATTTACTTATTTTACATCAATGTAATATAACAAATGAGTCACGTGCACTCATTGTTTCTTATCATGAATGTTATAAGATGTAATACTTATATTTCTCCGTTTTATTAAATCGGAAATAGATTACCCAATTGTGGCGCTTTATATTCTGTCTTATTAGAACCATGTCTTACTAATTAGATTGATTGATTGTTGATCTTATGTTGAATGGTACTACTATGTTACCTTTATTTGGCTTTCCTTAAAAAAAAAAAAAAATTAATAAATACGATAGAATATTATGATTGACTTTTTACTTGAAAGTGTTATGAAGCCAAACGACGTCGTTCTCATTTAGTTAAGTGAATGAATCCTGGATGTTGATTCAAGACAGATCCTGCAGCTCAAAATTGCTGATAGTCAATGATATAAAAGAGGGCAAAAACAGTGAATGTTAGTATCGCGTTTTAGTCTGTTCTTGTTAGGGTTCTATTGTGTGAATGAGCAATCAATTTGGGGTTTTAATTGCTGGGGTTATTCTTCGTTGTAATCTGGGCAGGATTGTTAAAGGGGTTGCATTTCCTTTTGAGGCTAGGATTGTTCTCTGAAATCTTACAAGTTACATGTAGAATTAGAGTGATTAGGTCTGAATTGAGATATTGCTTTGATTCAGGTTATTGAGTGTGTAATCTTGGTGTAATTGTTGGATAATCCTAGTGCAGTGAGTCTCCCTATTTCGGAGCTTAACGTGGATATAATCTATCCATTATTAGATAGGTGAACCACGGTAAATCTTAGCTTGTGCATGTGTGTTTGATTCTTAATCTTGGCTTGTGCGTGTGTGTTTGATTCTTGAATCTTGTTTGTGTATGGTGGATTTGTGTATTGATTAGTTTAGACTCAGGTTACAACAGTGGTATTAGAGCCAAAGTCCTAAGGTGTATCTAGGTTTAAGATCGATTAATTCGCAATAAATTGGAAAGTTAGGGTCTGTTAGAATTTGGGGGTTTTTCGATTTAAAGGTTTCTAGATCATTAGGACTTCAAATCTTGCTGAGTCCTAGGTCAATTTGTGAGTCTAGATCACAAACACAAGATATCGATTAATTCGCGACAAATTGGAAATTTAGGGTTTGTCAGAATTTGGGGGTTTTTCGATTTAGAGGTTTTCAGATCATTAGGGCTTCGGATCTTGTTAAGTCTTGAGCGAATTCGTGAGTCTAGGTCACAAACACAAGTCAGAGAGTAAAATCTTGAAATTTTGTCTAGTTTTACTGTTACAGTTACAGTTACAAAGTTATGAGTGCTACTCGTATGGAGATCTCCCAATACAATAGGAAGATCGATTTCAACCCATGGAAGAAGAAGATGAAGGCCTCCTTTCACACAATAAGGTAGGGCTTGCTCTGGAGAAAGACACCACTAAATGATTTGAGGAGAAACTGAAGAAAAAGTCTAAAGTTGATGAGGAGGCCTATAATATGATCATAATGAACCTATCTGATGCTGTCCTACGGAAGGTAGATGGCATGGAAACACCACTCACACTTTGGGGTAAACTCGAGTCCCTATATTCTTTACAGTCTGCACCTAATTTAGCGTTTCTTAAAGTGCTTAGTTTTCTTATAAGATGGATGTAACTAAGTCTACAGAAGAAAATCTTGATGAATTTTTAAAGATGACATTAGTGTTGAAGGGTACTGATCAAGAGTTAAGGGACTTTAGCTTAGCAATGATACTGTTGAATTCTTTGCCTGATGAGTATTTAGTAGTGAAAAATGCTTTACAATACACTAGGACAGTTCCTAGTGTTGACTTGATTATAGCTGGCCTGAAATCCAGAGAATTGGAGTTGAGAATCCAGAAGAGAAATAGGAATAATTTGTTTGTCAAAGGTAGAACAGATTCAGTACAATTAGGAAGGGATAATAGTAAGAACTTCCAACAATACATAAATTCTAATACGAAGAAGAAAGGGAAGAATAATAAGACTAAGGGCGAAACCAGAAAGTGTTTTCACTGTAATAAGCCTAGCCATCTTAGGAAGAACTGTTATGACTAGATAAAGAAACAAAAACAACACAGTACAGAGAGTAATTTAGCCAGCACTAGTACTGATATTGAAATTTCAGAAGCTCTCACAGTCTCAAACTAAGCTAGCAGTAAGGATTGGGTCCTAGATTCAGGATGCACTTTTCATATGAGTCCAAACATTAAATGGTTCCAAAACCTTAGGAAAGAAGAATTTGAAACTATGTTCATGGGTAACAATCACTCTTGTAAGGTTCAAGGTATAGGAAACATAACCATTAGGTTGAAGAATGGTAAAATCATAATGTTAACCAAAGTGAGGTATATACCTGATCTTAAATGAAACCTGATTTCGTTAGGAACGTTGGATGAAGCTGGATGTAGTTACAAGGCAGAAAATGGGTCCATAGTAGTTAATAAAAATAATGATATATTGCTTGAAGGAGTCAAACAAAATGGACCGTACATTTTGTGTGGCCAACATTTTGCATCTGCTGTTAATTATGCTTCATTATCTACTAACCTTTCTGCTGCAAAGAAATGGCACTTGAGACTTGGCCACATAGGCCAGAAAGGTATGACTGTTTTATGCCAGCAAGGCTACTTTGGTAAGGAATCCATATCTGAGTTAAGTTTCTGTGAAACTTGTGTATTGGGTAAACAGCACAGAATGAGTTTCCAAAAGGGAACTCATCTAGCTGAAAAATGTTTGGATTATTTGTATGCGGATCGTTGGGGTCTTGAAGGGTTAGGACACATGGAGGGAATTGCTATTTCCTTTCCATGGTGGATAACTATAGCAGGAAGGTATGGGTATACCTCCTTAAGTCTAAGGATGAAACCTTAACTAAGTTTAAAGGCTGGAAAAACCTGGTTGAAAACCAAGTTAATAGGAAAGTAAAAGCCCTTAGGACTGATAATGGATTAGAATTCTATAACTTGGAGTTTGACTTTTACTGTGTATGAGAGAGAATTTTAAGGCATACGACTGTTAGGAGGACCCCTCAGCAAAATGAGGTTGCTGAGAGAATGAACAGAACCTTACTAGAGAGGGTTAGATGTCTTTTATTCATTGATGGTCTACCAAAACCTTTTGGGGGGAAGCACTAGGTACAACAACCTACCTAATTAATGGAAACCCCTCAAGCTCCATAGATTTTAAGTGCCCTGAGGAGAGGTGGTCTGGGAGGAGATCATCTCTTGAACACTTGAGAGTGTTTGGATGTGCTGCATATGCACACACCCGGGTTGGGAAGCTAGAGCCAAGACCCCTTAAGTATGTCTTTCTAGAGTATCAGCAAGGAACCAAAGGCTATAGGCTTTGGGAAATGCCTGCCCCAGGGGTTAGAGTAATTGTTAGTCGAGATGTGATTTTCAATGAAGCTGTTTTTCCTTGCAAATCTGGTACTAACAATGCAGGTAGCTCACAAGAAGATTCTAAAAATCTTGGACAAACTGGGATAACTTAGTTTGAGGTGGAGCCTTCAATTTACTCTGATCAACATATTCAAACAAATGAGACTGACCCACTTGAAGACCAGCTATTGCAAACCCAAGAGTAGGAGGATGAAAAAGACCCTCCTGTAAACATTGAAGTGGATCAACATGGTGATCTAGCCCAATATCAATTAGCTAGATACAGAGTCAGGAGAGAAATCAGACCTCCCACAAGGTACAGCTATGCTAACCTAATCTATACAACACTCCTAGCTGGTTCAGAGATACACAGATCTGAACCTGATACTTATGTTGAGCATTGAGATCAAGGGACAACAAAGAGTGGGTGGCTGCAATGAAAGAGGAAATGGAGTCATTGCACTTGAACAACACCTGGACACTTGTCCTAAAGCCCAAAGATCAGAAGTTGGTGGAATGCAGGTGGCTTTACAAACTGAAAGAAGGGATAAATAAATGTTGTTGATTTTCGTAAGTATACGAAATCGTGCAAGTAATAAAGTTTATAAATACGGATATCGAACCCAAGGGAATTACTATTATCAATTACCAATTAAACTATCCTATTACTATTTGATCAATCCAAATTGTATCAAGGAAAATCTAAACTAAATTAACAATTGAATTTAAAAAGAAAATTGAAAAGAGAACAATTAAAATAAACCTTTGGGTAAAAACAAGATGACTGGACCTAAGGCATAGACTTCGCACCAACTCTTATTCATATGTATCTATCTCTTATACTAATTTTGTTAAGTTCTTCCTACAGGTCAAACTCCCTAAATTTCCAATAATTTTCTCTTGAACAATTATCAAATTAACCCCTAATTACTAACCTGAATTATCTCTAATCAAATTTAAGTAATTGGGGATCGTTACGCTCTATGGAGTTTACCAAAACCTCACAAGTCGCAGTACCCTATCTCTAGCGTTCGCTCAACCTATGGTTTTACTACTGTAGACCAACTAAGTATCATCTCTCGATCTCAACTTAGTCCATTAGTTCATTCAATTCTTGGGCCCTTAAGAATCAAAAGCATTAGGAATAATAGTAAAAATTAGGAAGAATTCTTAATAAAAATTAACAATCAAAGATCAATACATAATCAAGAGATTGGGCTACATCTTAGCCCTAGAGAATAAATTTAGTTCATAATAAACATGAAAGAAACAATCATCTTTATTAAAACATTCATCATGAGTTTACAA